CTTTTTCTTTTTCTTTTTCTTTTTCTTTTTCTTTTTCTTTTTCTTTTTCTTTTTCTTTTTCTTTTTCTTTTTCGTTTCTTCATCTTCATCTTCTGCTTCTTCTTCTTCTTCTTTGTCTTCTGCTTCTGTTTCTCTCTCTTTTGGTTTTTTGTTGTTTTGTTTTTTGGTATGTGTTCTTTTTTTTGATTTTGGTTTGGTTTTGGGTTTTGGGTTTGGTTTTTTTGTTTTTGTTTGATTTGGAGGTTTCCTGTCTTTTTTGTTGTTTTTTAATGTATGGTGATGCTTTAGGACTGTTTTCCCTCATTTTCACATGAATTCTACTTCTCTGCACTACTATTCACTACAATTTGCCATACAACAACAATAAGCTGTCTAACCACCTGGCACCAGTGGAACTGCTCCTAAACCTATTTTGAAACTTTCTTAAAGTGTGTGGAAAGCATTTAAAAACTAAAAAGCCTAATGTCATTCTCTTCCCTTGAGTCTCCAATCCTCCATGAACATCCTCAAGCTCTTCTCCTCCCTGTGTGCCTCAGAACGTGTCCTCTGCTCAGAGCAGAAAATTATGTTTGGGAAGGAAATCTTGTGCAGCTGAAATTGTGACCAATATAATTCCCCTTTTTCCCTCCCTCCCTCCCTCCCTCCCTCCCTCCCTCCGCAGACTTTTTGTTTTTCCCCAATTATTAATCCCACAAGCACATTCCCAAACGGGATATGCACACCTCAGACACACACAGAGTGTTTGGTCTCTTCCTCTCATTTTCTCCCAGTCCCTGAGGGCAAGCTCCCCTTTTCCCCAGCATCTGACTCCAGGTTTTCCTTCTCCACGTGGGCAATACCCAAACCTTGGCTGCAGCTCCAGCCCCAGAGCTGAGCTCCCGTTCCCCCGCTCACATCGCACGATCTCGCTGCCTTCCTCTCTGGGAGCAAATCTCCCAACACACGGACACTGTGCCAGCCCTTTCCTTACCCACCCACGAAAGCAAAGCACGAGAAAAACGCCGGAACATTCTTTAAAAATGGCCTTGGCTCTCCAGCAAGGCTCCTGCAGAGCACTGTGTGTCCGTGCACAGATTGCAGCAGCAGCCACGCAGCCCGGGCTGTGCCATGCGCCAGGAGATGCCACGGGAAGGGAGAAAAATCAGGGGAAACTGAGGCAAAGTCTGCTGCAGCTCCTTTGCCAGCCCTGCATTGCTGCAGCTCCTGTGCCAGCCCTGCATTGCTGCAGCTCCTGTGCCAGCCCTGCATTGCTGCAGCTCCCGTGCCAGCTCTGCATTGCTGCAGCTCCCGTGCCAGCTCTGCATTGCTGTAGCTCCTGTGCCAGCTCTGCATTGCTGCAGCTCCAGTGCCAGCTCAGCATTGCTGCAGCTCCTGTGCCAGCTCTGCATTGCTGCAGCTCCTGTGCCAGCTCAGCATTGCTGCAGCTCCCATGCCAGCTCTGCATTGCTGTAGCTCCAGTGGCAGCTCTGCATTGCTGCACTGCACTGGGGCCATCCTGCAGCCCAGACAGCTCCAGGGGCAGCTCGAGTCGCTGCAGCTCCTGATTTGGGCTCTTCTCTGCTCTCCCCGCTCCCTCTCCTCTCTTGGCCCCTTTTTAGGCAATGGACACACTTCCAATCGTTTTTTTGGGAGAGGAAGGCACTAAAGCACATCCCTGCCGAGGCAGGCAGCGAATCTGGAGGCTCAAATCCCACGAAGGATTGCCCTGAGCTGTGGACAAAGCGTAAATAGAGCACAGCACCAAAACAGTTGTTTTAAAAAAGTGTTAAGACACTGAAAGTTTTGCTCCTTTTACCACCTCTGCTCCCCGTGCTTGGGGGGCATGCACTGATCCTGCTACTCCTGAAGCATCTGGGGAGGCTTTGGCCCCACATCCCTGCCCTGCAAAGCAGTGAGTGGCAGAGCCCTTCCAGCTGCATCCAGGGAAACCAGCACTGGGGAATCAGCAGGAGTACAGCCAGAAAACCTCGGATTTAAATCCTCCCCTTGCCAGGAAAACGAAAGTCTTCCCCAGGAGCACTGGGATGAGGCTGCCGTGCTCCTCCTCCCCTTCCCCAGGCACCCTGTGCCTGCTCTTCCTGTGGCATGAAGGTGTCAGGTGGGATTTTCCTCTGGGAATTGGCTGAAGTGGAGGCCAGGACTCCGCTCTGGAACCTTCCACAGGGCCCTGCCAGCCCCGAGTCCCAGCTCAGCTGGTGCTGGAAGCTCTGAGCTCACAGATCCACAGCCCAGAGCTAAGAATGCAGTTCTGTAAACTGTGTCAGGAAGCAGCTCCGTGCTGTGGTGACAGTATCCATGGAAATGCAACTCAGGGAGTAAATGTGGATCAGGGGAGACTTTCCTGAGGCCTGCCCATTCCAGGACCCTGCACAGCACTGGGTGATTCCATCTTCTCACCTTAAAAGGGCTTTGGCTGCTCCTTGTTTTGAAGTCCGGGCCTTGTCTGGATGAGACACCAAAAAACCAATCAAGAGTCAGAGTAAACATTCAATACTGCAGCCACAATGTCCACTTTGCAACAACTGAAACCTAGAACTTCACTCACCAGGAGGACAGCGAAAGACCACCTGTCTCTGGAAGAAACTCAAAGACACTTCTTGTTAAAAACTATTTTTTATAAATATAATTCTTCATTCATTAAACAACATGAAAAGAATCATAAAACTTTACTCATGGGGAAAAAAAAAGATTTTACAATTTCATTTATAAAAGTTGAAGTGAAAAATGAGTTATTTCCAGTGTTAGTTTTCTGTAAAACACATAAATAATCACACCATTGAATTGTAGGAATGCACTTGACATGAAAAAAATTCATAAAAATTGGTATCAATAATCACTTATGGGAGAAACAGACTGTAAGAAGTTACTCCATGGAGCTGCCTTTGCAAAGAAAGGTTAATACAAGCTCTCAAGTAGGTGCACACCTTCTATTAATAACTTTCACAAAATAAAAATAGCCCTGCTTCCTTGGCCTACAGCCCAGTGGATTGCTACCATTCCTCCTCATCGGATTTGTTGCTCCTTTAACCCTTCTTCCCATCCAGTCTCTCCAGTCATAAATCTTGTATATTCAAAAAGATTTGGTTTTCATTTAGCAAATGCTAAGTATTAAAGAGTTTAACAGGAATTGTCTGTGTGAAAAAAATAAAAATACAAATCTCCCAAACAACCCAGACAGCTCCATTCACCAAAGGAAAACATGTGGAAACTTTTAATGGATTTTAATAAAACCTAGGAGAATTTTTGGGTGACCCACTAGATAGACACTTTACAAATAAACCCTATTTTCTGCTGCAAAGAACAGTAGTTCCCTGGGAAAAAAACCCTATGTGCTTATTTAAAAGTGCAAATAAACCTCTATTTATTTCAAGAGGTTCCAGCCACGTATTACCAAGCAAGAGTGCAAAAATAAGCAAACTCCAATGCTACAGCCACCTGTCAGACAGGAATAAACTCCATTATTCATAACAATATAGTTACTCTCTCATAGGTCAGCTTTTCACTAAAACTTGTTCCCTCAAACCAAATACGAAAGAACTGGAATGAAGTTAACATGGACATTTTTGTTTAAAAAGTAAAGATTTCTCTGCTAGCTAAACCCAACAATTCCTGTGAGCACCAAGCTTTTCCCTCAGTAATTATTGCAGTGCTGGCAAATGACAGCTCTGTGAGCTGCCCCACTCCTCTGCACATCCATGTGCACACAACCTTCACTGCACTGAGCAACAGCCCCGGCCCAGCCACACTGAGCAGGGCAGGGGATGAACGTGTTGTTACTGTCTTTCAGCCTGAGAATTACATACCATTTAAAAGAATTTGGCTGGCAGTTGATTTAAGGAGTTTCCCGTAGTGCCCCTGAGGTAGTTACATGCCGATAAGCACAAAGGCCTGACAGGGAAACTGAGGCACTTCAAGGTGAGGTCACTTGTCCAAAGTGTCAGTCAGAAGCCAGAGCAGAGCCAGAAATGCTGCCCTGGGCTCTTGGCTCCTCCTGAGCTCTGGACACTGAGCCCAGCTCTCTCCAGGCTCAAATGTCAGAGGAGCTGCAGGCCACGGATCTCCCAGAGGGCTGGAGGTGCCGGGGATGAAGCTGCCGCCGGCAACAGAGGAACACGGACATGGTGCAGGAAAATCCGGGCTGTAAAGGCCACGCAGACAAGGGAGGAGGGACACTGCATCAGCCCAGCAGAGCTTCATAATCCACGTACCACACCAGCTGGCCAGAGCTGGGGCTGACACCCGAGATCGGCCACTTCCTGGGCTCGCGGCCCACTCTGCTGAGCAGGGTGGTGATGTTGTGCTTGCCCTTGCCCAAAACCAGGACAAACACCTGCCTGGCCCTGTTGATGAGGGGCAGGCTGAGGCTCATCCTCTGGTGAGGCTTGACAGGGCTCTCAGTCAGCACCACGGTGGGAGCCCCTTCCAGGCCGTTTTCGGAGCGGGGGAAGAGCGAGGCCGTGTGCCCGTCCGTGCCCACCCCCAGCAGCACCAGGTCGAAGCTGGCGTTGGCCACCAGGGCCACGATGTCCTTGGCGTAGAGCTCGGCGCCGCCGTCCTCCTCCACGCAGAGGCGCTGGTTGAGGTGCACGGGCATGGGGTGGATGTTGAAGTAGGGCAGCCTGACGTGCTGCAGGAGGTGCCTGTGCAGCCCCAGGAAGTTGGACTCGCCGTCGGTCAGGGGCACGCAGCGCTCGTCCACCAGCCACACGTGGGTGTGCCGCCAGGGGAAGCCCAAGTGGTGCCTGGCCAGGCGCTGGAACAGCCCCGTGGGGCTGGAGCCGCCCGACAGGGCCAGGTGGAACTGCCCGCAGCGAGCCACGCTCCTCACCGCTGCCTCCTCCATGTCGGACGCCAGCTGGGAAATCAGGTCCTCGGCCCACGCCGACACCAGGGGACTGTGCCGGAATTTGGACTGGGTTGCCCTGAAATCACTTGGCATCTGCCCGCTGGGGGTCAGCAGCTGCGCTGGCTCTGCCAGGGTGAACGCCACTCCCCCACCCAGCATTTCAAAGTCCAGGAGCTGCTGGTTCTCCACGCCCCCGGGGTAGAGGCGCGGGGGCTGGCGGGCGGTGCTGTCCAGCAGAGGTGTCCAGAAGGCCCAGGAGGCCAGCAGGTTCTCTGTGGTGATGAAGAAATCCTTCCTGCCGTGGTAGATGTTGGAGATGAGGACAGAATATGCATCTCTCTCTTTCACAGGGCTGTAGGTGTAGAAATCAGACAGCGGCTGCCCAAAGATGTGCAGGTCTGACCGAACCTCTGCTTCTTTCCAGCTGTGTTTGGGCATGACAGGCTGGAAGAGGTTCCTGCTCACCAGCACTGCAGGGGTGTTGAGTGCGCCGTGCCCGAAGTAGAAGATGATCTGCTTGGGTTTACACTGGCTGTGCCCTGAGTCCCTCAGGGTGCCACTCTGAGTGCAGTAGGCCCTGTTCTTGAAGAGGACACGGGCGTAACCCACCCGCTCGTCCAGAGCCTTCCCGGAGGTGAGGAGGAACGGGACCCCTTCCCAGCGCAGGCTGTCGCTGTGGATCAGCACACCTGCAACAACAGACCCCACCCCACAGCTGAACTGCAGGCACTCCAGGGCATCTCCTTCACCTGCCCATTACTCTCCCTCCTCAGCTCTTCTGGTAGCCACTGCGTCTTTAGCTCCACATTCAGCCCTTGCAGGACTCCACCGCCCACCCAGGACTCGATGATCTCTACAGTCCCTTCCCACCCAGGTCATTCTGTGATTCTCACTCTCTCCAGCTCCCCTGCTGTGGTCCCTCCCAGCTATCCCACTTGTTCAGCCTCCTTTCATCTTGCAGGAAACCAGTTTCTGAGCACGAACATCATTTAGACAATTCTCTTCATGTTCACAGCATGGCTAGAGATGGCCTTGTGGTTCACCCATCACAGAGAACAAAGCTTTACCCCTCAGCTGCAGAGAGCAACTCGACTTTATGAAAAGGCAAAAGAGTTTACAGGCCACTTCTAAAAACAGTGCAGAGATTTTATAAGTATGGGCCTTAGTTCTTCCTCTTCCCATTCCCTGGATCATTGGTTAACTGCCACGACAAGAGTGTTCTCGTGTCCAGCTCCCAGTTCCCACGTCAGTGGATGCCTGGACACATCCCTGAGTCAGCAGTGAGCTCTAGAGCCACGGAGCTGGTACTGCATGCAAGGGTTCACATCTCCTGCTCCCCTCAGCTCTGACTGCTCCCCTTGCCAGGGCTCAACCCAAACTCTCACCTGCAAAGGTTGGTGTGGTGCTGACGTAGCCCTGTGCCTCCTGCAGCTCCTCCTGCACCTGGCTGTTGTAGGCCTGGTACTGCCCCAGCACGGCACTGCTCCTCTCCAGGCCCCACAGGGACTGCAACGCCTGCAGCTTGTGCTGCACCACGTCCTGGGCACTGCTGACGTTGGCAGGGAGCTCCATGATGAGGAACATGAGGGCCTCGGTGAGGTGGTTCTGCAGCACGTCCCGGATCACCCCGTACTGCTCGTAGAAGCTGGTGCGGCCTGGGCACAGCAAGGAGGCAAAATGCTGCTCAGGTGAGCAGTTCCCTTCTCTGTACCACACTGTGGGTGCCAGGGAGAGCAAAGCTCCAAGCTCCTCTCCTCCTCACCCAGCAATTAACCTGAAGCAATCAAGCTCAGGGAAGCTGTGGATGTCCTGTCACTGGATGTGTTCAAGGTCTGGTTGGACAGAGCTTTGGACAACCTGTCCTAGTGAAAGTTGTCACTGCTGTAGCAGGACTAGATGGTTTTCCTGTCCTCAGAAGGCTCTGGCTGAGCCATGCCCTTGGGAGACAAAACGTCGTGCACAGAGCCACGCTCCCCTTTCCCTGCTTGGCTTCTCATGCAGGTGGGAGCAGTGGGAGAAGGCCAGTGCACTTCTGGAGTGACTCAAGGCTGTGTGTCACCAGCAGCAGGCTGCATCATGACACAGGCTTCCCCTACTGACTGAGAATTTATGTCCCCCGCTCTAATCCAAAGGCACACGCAGTAATGGAATCAGTGCTGCAGACTTGCTGGGAGCCAGGCTGCCAGCTGAAGCTGCACAGGGCAAAAAAGACATCAAATGATGAATTACAAAGTTGTTGAGAGAGGAGAGGGCACAGGGAGCGGCTGGGGCTGTGTGCAGACAGCGCCGTTCTCCCTGGATCTCTCTGCAGTGCATCCCTCTCCCACAAAGAGGCTCAGGTGAGCTCTGGGCTGCCAAACCAAAGATTACCACTCCAAGTTTGATAAAATTGCATTAACTGAGTCTGTGGTGGCTGAGGGAGGGAGGCAGAGGTAAAGTGAGTGGGGAAGCAATCCAGATGGTGCAGGAGCCAGGGCACCTGCCGTGCCCAGAAGTGCTGTGGGTGGCAGCCCCGCCCAGGAGCTTTGTGCTGAGCACTGCAGAGGGGATGCTGCAGCATTGCAGGGAGGCAGTGCAGCCGTGTCCTTCAGCAGGAGACCCACGCTCTGGGCTGGGACTGTCCCTCTGCAGTGCTCTTCCTACTACAGAGAGGCGGGGAAAGAAGCAGGCAGAGAAAGCCAGACTGACCCAGGGGCCAGAAACATCCAGGCAGGATGCACAGCAGCTCCCAAAGAACAGCACAAAGGCACACTCGGGGTGAGCCTGGTGTCTGACAGGACAGCAGCTCAAAAGGGTTGGTACAACTGCACATCACTGCTGCACTGAGCCGAAGTGGCCTTAGACTGCATCAGATCCAAATCTAGTGCTGTTTACCAAGAATTGGGATAGAAAGGTCAGCAATGCCCCCAGAGCTCTGCAGCAGAAGGTGGGGGGTTCTGCTCCTGCTCCCAGATGAATTGCAAATGGATTTTTTTCTTAGAGGCAGAAACACTGGAAGTGAGTCAGTTTCCAGCACAGGAAGTGTAGGATAGTCCCTCTGTTTGCAGGGAGCAACACACCATTCACCTGTTCCTTTTTTATTTCAGTACCAGCCCCACCTCAAGGGCCACCTCCCCATTATTAATGAACCTGTCACCTCTCACTCACTCACCCTGCACACTCGTCTCACCAACCTTTAGCATCCACAGTCTCCTTCAAGACAACCTCCACTCTTTCCACGTGATGTCGGTTCCAAATCGGGTCCAGAAACTGTCGGTTCTGATCCCGAAAAGGCAGGATATGGGCCACAGCCTGGGAAGGGAAAAATTCAAAGACCCAATAAAAGCTCAGTGGATTCCCACAGTGCCTCTGCCTCAGTGTCCCATCCAGCAGACAGGCAGCAGAGCAGAGAGGAGGAAAGCAGCAGGAGAGCCTGCAGGGATGCACAGTAGGGTCACCAGTGACTGTCCAGAGCAGACATTAAAGGTCTTTTCGAGGCATTTTGAGGTTTCATGTGAAAAGGCTAAACTACAAACTGCAGAGCACTCAATTTATATCTGTCAGAGGACAAAGGGCTGAATCAGACCATCCTGGGACTAATATAAGGTTCTAAAGTGCTGAAATAAATCAGTTCTGATGCTTACACCACTAAAGCCATCTGTTCTTTTGGGGAGACAAACCCCCAAAAACAAAACAGAAGAAATCCCCGCTCTTAGTAGAGATGCTGACCCGGCCACATTGCCATGGCTGGAACAGGCTGCTTTTAAAGTGTGGCATCACATTCCTGAGAAAGAAGGATGGGATGTCCTTGAACACATTTCCTCTGGGACAGTGCAGCTCCACATCCTGAGCTGTACCTGCAGCAGACAATCCTTCCAGCCCAGAGTGCAGCACAGGGCAGCAAGAAACCCTCCCCTAAGCATCCCACAGAACTGACATCACATCAGCTCCTTATCATATCAAATGAAGGAGTGCTTCCAGAAGCCATGGCTAAGCAGAGAGGCCTGTGTGTAATGAGATGTGGAGCTGGGGGAGGACAGGTGCTACTTACTCAGCGAAACCAAAGCCCTGACCTTGGGGAGGAGGCCAGAGGAGTTCTGCAGCTCTGCTCCAGGCACACAGAGCCCAGCCCTACAGCCCAGCCCTGCTCTGCAGAATGGACTCTCAGCACTCCAACAGGAGGAAGCCCTGCTCTGGTCTGCATGTTCCCTCTGCTCTCCCAGAGGATGGACAGCAGCACAGGACAGAGAAACAGGACGGGATTCCAGGAGAAAATGGAGGCTCTGGATCACAATGAGAGGCTCTGCACAGATTTGGGAGGGGAACAATGCTCTCATCAGATACAGAACTGACCACCAAGAGTCTCCCAGGCACAGAGCCCCTCAGCCTGGCAGGGGCTGTGCACTGCTCACCTGCTTGCCCAGATAATGGTCCACCCTGTACATCTCCTCCTCCCTGAAGAAGCCTGCCAGCTCTGCAGCCAGCTGCTGGGCCGACTCCAGGTCGTGGCCAAAGGGCTTCTCCAGCACCACGCGCAGCCAGGCTCCGGCAGGGGGGCGGCAGCTGCTGTTGATGTGCCGGGCGATCTCCGTGTAGGCAAACGGTGGCACCGAGAAGTAGAAGATCCTCCCAGCCTCCTTCAGCCCCTCCTGGTGCAGCAGGGTCTCGATCTCTCTGCTCAGAGCTGTGTAGTTTTCAGCTGTCTTTAGCTGGTGGTACTGGCTCAGCTTCAGGAACTGGTCCTTGAGCACTGCACACCTGTTGGGAGCCTCGTCGGGGGGACAGGACAGCTTCTTCAGCACGTCAAACATCAGCCTCTGCCCTGGTTCCAGAGCTGCCAGGGCAGCCCCGTGGAATGTGAAGCTGTGGCCACTGCTCACTTGGTCCATGTAGAGCTGGAATAGACCCTGCCACAAGTACTTCTTGGCCAAATCACCTGTGGCTCCCAGCAGGACCACAGAGATGTGGCCCTGGGATGCTCCAGCTGGGGATGGGAAGGCTCCCACGAACAACACCGTGCACAGGATCCTTCCCAGCATCTTCTAGGGGAGAAGAGGCAGAGCCACGAACACTAGAAGTCAGGAATAAAACCCCAAATCAATCCATGTTGTAGCACTGCAAAACACAGTACAAGATACCTGCTTTCCCCAGAAGAGCCAAGGGCTTCTGCCTGAACCCTCCACCCAACAGTCTCTCCCCCCCTCCATGATCTGAATCAAGGCAGTAATTTGGGTTCTTGACAAACCTGCAGCCTCCTTCTGCACACCAGAAGTGGAAGGCAGTGTGTGCTGAAGGTCTTTGGGCAGCATGTGCCCTGTTCCCACAGCTGAGGGGGTGTCAGTGCCTTTGCACAAGGAACCTGAAACCCATTTTCATCCAAATCTCAGAGCTGGCCACAAAGGAACACACATGCCTGCACACTGAGCACACGTGCCTGCACACTGAATCCTGCTTCCAACGCCCTGTTTGGGACTTTGCTCAAACAGTGCTGGGCTGTCTTGGCATGGCTTCATGTCAATATTGTCAGAGCAGCTCGGGGACAAACACGACCACTGGCAGTCCCAGGCTCTTCTTTCACTTAATGGCTCCTGTGCACCACCAACAAACTGGGTTCTAATGGCTGCTGGGAGACTGGTGTGACAGAACAGCTCTGAAGAAGTTTAGTCCTCAGACTGATGTGAGTCTAGCTGCTGCCTCATGGTGGCTGTGCCTGTGGCTAGGTGACAGCCTGGGGTTTGTGTTCTGCCTCCTGCAACCTCTGCCACTGAAGGGCAGATCCTATTCTGACCTTCTCCACGCAGTGCTCACTCAAATTATTGCAGCCAAAAAGTCCCTTTGCTCACACTTATTTATTCAAAATAAAGCTGTTTTTAAGAGAAAAGACACATTTAGCACTTCTACTGAGAAACACAGCAATGACTTTGCATCTCAAGAAATGTAATGTCACTAAAGAGAAGTTTAGTCACTCCTGTATGGGTGACTAATCCACTGTGCTGCTCTTGTTACATCAGGTATTATTTCAGCACCTCTCACACTGGCCATCTCCTTCCTTTAATTTAATTTTCTGAAGCTGTGTTTAGTTGAGCCTTCACAGCACACAATGTTATTCTTTAAAAACTTTGAGCTCTGGTCAATAAATTATTATAACTAAATAATTACAAGGAACATCTGGATATCTCTCCCTGTCTGCAGCTTGAACTGCTCTGTTGCAATCTTGTGTTTCTCTCTCCAGCAGACTCACCTGTAACACAGGAGCTTTAGAGAACACGGTGGCAAAAGCAGCTGGGAATTTTTCTCCTGCACAGCCTCTCCCAATGTAGATCTCGCTCCTGTGACTCTGATCAGTGCTCGGGCGTGCAGGACAGATAAGGCAGGTTGTTCCCTTCCTGGAAAACCAGAGGAAAGACCCAATTACAACAGAGAAAAAAACGAAAGTGCCTGAGCCAGCAATGTCCCAGCACATCCCTGTTTGCAGTCCTGCCCCACTGGCTGTGCTGAAGCCTTTGGCTGCTGTTTGTGAACAGATAAAACACGGGCATGTGTGGTAATTCCTGCTCCCAGACAAGCTGTAATGTAGTCTGTAAGTTCAACCCCTCTCCCCAGCTCTCTGTTGTGGCTGTCTCCCCTCCCTCCCTTCTTTCCTCGCAGTTTGAGCTCCATGGACTCACTGAAGGACTCCAGCCAGCAACACTGGCAGTTGCAAAGAGCCTGCAGAATAAATGATTATCTGGTTTCCCTTCCCCTGCTGTGGGGTTATAACGCAGATGACGAAGTTTTTCAGTGCAATAAAAGGGTATTTACACTTCTTAAGCAACCTTTGTTCCAGGAACCAGAGGTACTGACACACTGCCCGCTGCAGCCTGGCAGCCCCTGCTGTGCTGCAGCCAAGGAGCAAGTGCCCAGTGAGGAGTGGGAAGGGTCTGGGTGGGCCAGGCTGCTCCAGAGCCATGGAAAAGAGGGAATTAGCCAGGGAACTTCCTGGCAGATTCAGCCACAGTCATGTGTATTCCCAAACCAACAGAAAGCCAGTTTCACAACCCTCCCAATTGCAAAATATTGAGCTACACTGCACAGAATAAGCTCAGTAAACCCAGCAGTGTTTGCTTACTGCTTTCATATCAGCTAATCAACAGTGCTCACATTAAAAAATAACACCCCAAAAATCCCCCAGCCAACCAGAACAAAGTTCCTCAGTCAGGCTTCAGGAAAAGACTCCTGGGCCTGATCCACATGAAACACGTAAGAGCGTGGCCCAGCAGTCAGGCTGTGCATTCCCTCCCAGAGCCACTGGAGCTCCTGTTCCACAGGAGCTCATTTCAGGTCTTTATGGAAAAAATGCAAAAGGTATTTTTTGTTACCGTTGTAACCCCACTGAAAATTAATTACCAGATGCACAGCAAAAAGAGCTGGACTTTGATGATCCTTGTAGGGCCCTTCCAGCTGAGGATACTCTATGATTCTGTGATAAATGCAGCATGGCCTGGGGTTCCCACAGGGCTCTGCACAGGTAACACTCGAAGGAAAGGGCTCTGAGATTCTCTGAGAACTGGGGAAACCCTACTGCTCTTCTGTACTTGTAAACATCAGGGCAGGAATGAGCTCACCATCAGCTTCTGGAAAAGTTCAATGCTTAATGAGGAGACTCACATTAAAAGCAAGCTGAGAAGCGCATGAATTCGTGTTTGGCCCTTCTGGCTCTGACTCAGCCTCACTCCGTGTGCTCTAGCCCCAGCATCGTGACAGCAGCCGTTCCCAAATCCCTGGAAAAGCAGGACAGGAGACCATGAGAAAACCACCCGAGTGCGTGGGCAGCGCACAGAATCCTATAGGGGATGAGCCCACCTGGGACAGGGATGAGCTCACGGGTGACAGCGGCTGTCGCAGCCCCCGGGCACCGAGAGGGACCGGCCCCCGGCGCTGGAGCTCCCCCGGCCCCGGGAAGTCCGGGCCGGGCTGGGCTGCAGCGGCTGCGGACCCTGCGGGCTGAGAGGGCAGCGGGGCCGGGCCGGGGCTGCACCGCGCTCCCGCCGCCCCGAACACCTCGGGCCGTGCGTCCCCCTCGCCAGGGGCCGGGAAACATCGTCCCTCCATCCCCCCATTCCCCCGTCCCTCCATCCCCCCATTCCCCCGTCCCTCCATCCTCCCATTCCCCCGTCCCTCCATCATCCCCCGTCCTTCCTTTCCTCCGTCCTTCCTTTCCTCCATCCCCCCATTTCCCCGTCCCTCCATCCCCCGTCCTTCCTTTCCTCCGTCCTTCCTTTCCTCCGCCCTTCCATCCCCCGTCCCTCCCGCGGCCACGCGCGGAGCCCCGGCCGCCCACGCGGTGCCGGAGCGGGGAGGCCGGAGCGCGGTGGCGCAGGGCAGCGCAGAGCGGGGCCCGGGCTGACCCCGGCTCCCCTCACGGTCCGAGCCGATCCCTCCCGGTCCGAGCTGATCCTTCCCGGTCCCAGCTCATCCCTCCCAGCCCGGGCTGACCCCCGGCTCCCCTCACGGTCCGAGCTGATCCCTCCCGGTCCGAGCTGACCCCTCCCCGGTCCGTGCTGACCCCCGGGCCCGGGCTGACCCCTCGTGACCCCCGGGTCCCCTCACGGTCCGAGCTGACCCCTCCTGGCCCGGGCTGACCGCGGCTCCCCTCCCGGTCCGAGCCGATCCCTCCCGGTCCGTGCTGACCCCCGGGCCCGGGCTGACCCCTCCTGACCCCCGGCTCCCCTCCCGGTCCGAGCTGACCGGTCCCGGCCCGGCCCCGCCGCCCCCCGCTCACCTCCCGCCCACCGCACGGCGCCGGCGGCGGCGGGCCCGACACAGCGCCCCGCCCGCGCCGCCCGTCCCGCCCAGACTCTGTGGTTGGCGGCAGCTCGCGCCCGGCGCCGGCGCTCGGGAGGGAGGAAAAATCGGCAGGGCTGAGGGGCTCCGGGGACAAGGAATCACCCCGGGGGGACACGGACCCCGCCCGGTCCCCGCCCAGCACCGGCGCTGGGAATGCGCCTGGACACCAGGAATGCACCTGGACACCGGGAATGCGCCTGGAGCCTGCGCTCGCACGCCTGGGGATGCAGCAGGATGGGGGTGCGGTGCGCTCTCCTTTCGGGAATTTGGGCTGGAAATGTTCGGAACGCACCACTACAGCAAAAGCTTGACCGAAACGAGGGCTGAGGTAACCTTCAAGGCCGCGTTTGATGTTGGCACGAACAACCCGGCCGAGTGGAAGGGGTGGGTTGGAATAAGATGAGCTTTAAGCAACCCTCCAACCCAAACCAGTCCTTGAGTCTGTGATTCGTGCTAAAAGAAAACGCATCTGCTTTCCCCAGCTGACTGGCTGGTCTAATTTTATACCTATATGTGTAGGTATATTTGTCTACAGCCCTTGCTTTGTGTCCTGAAATGACTCTGGCATCCCCCTCCTAACCTCACATGTACCTCCACAACTGCAGTCCTGTGTTTTCTACACAAGGAATTACCTCGTGAACCTCCTGGGGTGGGTCTCAGATCAGGCTGACAGCGCTTTCAGGCACATCAGTTTTTGGGAGGGCAGGTGGAGCGATCAGAGGCAGGACAGGTGTCTTTGCAGATGTGTGGCAGCAGCAGGAGCTGCACAGCAGCCCCGCACTGTAAAACAGCTGTACCTGCGTTCCAGAATGGAGACTGACACATCCCACGGCCCTTCCTGCTGCCTTTCTCACTCCAGGGTTTCCAATTATTTCATACAAGATATTCTTTACCAGCCCTGATTTCAGGTGGGGAAAAGGATCCACGGTGGCAGAACCTGGCTCAGAGCTGGGGCAGCTTCCCGCTCCGGCTGGGAGCTGAGAGAGGAAAAGAGAGGAAATGATCCCAACAGCGAGCCTTGCCTTGTGTTTGAGAGAGGTACAGCCACAGAGAGAGCAATCTGCTCTGGAGGAGCTGTCCCTGCCACGGCAGAGGTTGGAGCCAGGTGATCTTCAAGGTCCTTCCTATCCCAGACCATTCTGTGCTTCTGTGACAGAACTTTGAATTTTATTCACGATGTAATTCCTCGATTCTGTAACTTCCACTGATCTGTGTGAGGGTCCCCGTGGGGCACTGCAGGGTGACACCAGGGAGCACCGGGGATGCTCTGCAGGAGCAGGGATGTGCACTTGGGAGGAGAGGGACTGAGCAGCGAGCCCTGACCGTGATTTGTGACCCCGGCCGTGCTGCTGAAACCCAGGGAGGATTCAGCACAGGCACGGCCCAAATGGTGCTGCTGAACTGGGCCAGGGGAAAGAACTCATCTGGAATGGCCAGCTGGACAGACAGCACAGGCCTGGGGACCCCCTCTTTGGTCCTCCAGGCCTGGGGACCCCCCCTTTGCCTCTCCAGGCCTGGGGACCCTCTTTATCCCTCCAGGTGTGGGGACCCCCCCTTTACCCCTCTAGACCTGGGGACCCCCCTTTACCTCTCCAGGCCTGGGGACCCCCCCTTCTCCCCTCTAGACCCGGGGACCCCCCTTTACCCCTCCAGGTGTGGGGACCTCCCTTTACCCCTCCAGGTGTGGGGACCCCCCTTTTCCCCTCTAGACCCAGGGACCCCCCTTTACCCCTCCAGGCCCAGGGATCCCCTTTTCCCCTCCAGGTGTGACAGCACCACTCTGCACACTGAGCCAGCAGCTCAGTGCTGTGTCCCACAGCCCGTGTTTAACCCGTTAATTCCCCTGGCAAAGCTCAGCTCTGTTTGGGTACAGCAGGCTGGGCCAGGAGTCCCCTGCTGCAATCTGTGCTCTGCTCTGGAAGAAAAAGGGGGTTTGCCACCTACTTTAGCAGAAATCATTGAAGAGCAGATCTCCCTGCTGCGTATTTCTGGCATATGGAATGAGATGAACAGCTGAGGCCTGGTCACTTAAGCTTGTTGTTATTATAGACAGAGCTAGAAGTTGAGAGTAGTAGCAGTTGTTTAACATCTTCTGTCTAGAGACCATGTTTTCAGCTAGTTATGTGATGCCAAACTTTAAATATTGAGGCTGAAATTGTAGGGGTGGTTCGCTTTATGCAGTAATTTTTTTTGAAATCTGAAAAAAAAAATAGTGCAGCTATTTCTGAGCTGAAGGTCAGAAGATAAAATAGGTTTTTTGACCACGTTAAAAATATCCCAGCTGTTTCATTAAGGACCTCTAACATCTCATAATTTGGGGCAAGTAAGATTTTGTGAGGATGATGGTTTGGATCAGATTGTGCTTTTGTCAAAGCCTTTTCAGACTTCCTCAGCTGTGTGTGCCTTTAAGGGAAAAAGGTCCAGCGTGACAGATGAGACATGTGATGGCAATAGAGGAATAAAAGGCAGCTAGCAAGGAAAGGGACATTAAGGAGACAGATGTTCTACAAGCAAATAAAAAGCTCTATAGGAAAAAGAGCTGTTCTGGGTGGTGTTTAAGGGTGGTGTTTCAGAGGAGGAAGCATTAAGCTGGAAAGAGCAGTTTACCAGTTCAGAGCCTCTGTAAACCCGGGCCAGAGGCTGTGTTTTGGCATTGCAATGGAAATCCGTCCCACAGCGAGGGGTCCTTTGTTTAGGAGTGGGGAAAACAATGTAAAAAAGGGAGTTTGCTGCAGTGGGACTTTGTTGCCCTTTGGTGTTGCAGCTCCAGAGCAGACTCGAGGTGTGGAGAGGTGACACCGAGCTGGGGTGGGGCTTGCACTGCTCTGAACAGGCAAGGGGAACTTCAGCACGGCAAGATTTTGGTGAGGTAACCTTAGAGGAAACTTGCCTGGTAGCTGCCAAATTTATCAGCCTCTGCCAAGGCGTTTACTGCCAATGAGCTGTAGATGTGGCTGTAAATGACAGAGCAGTTTCTGGGGACGCTTCTGTGTTGTGCTGGGAGCCTGTGTGGTGCTGCAGAGCTGCTGGAGCTGGGTCAGGGGCTGTGCTGGGGGATGAGCTGCCAGCAAAGCTCTCCAGGTCCAGCCTATCAAGTTCACATGGCTTGGAGTGAGGCCCTTAACTTCTGCTGTGAAGCAATAAAGAACAGCTGTACAGCAGCTGGGGTTCTTAGGAAATAAAATGACTGTCTTGTGGCTTCTTGAAAGCCAGACTGTAGAAATGATAACAGCAGCTCCCAAAGCGGTGTGGGGGAGAATAAGAGGGGCTTTGTTATGGCTGCTGGGGCAAGTGAAGGAGTTACCTGCTGAATGAGTTGTGGAGCGGGTTTGTGGTTAGCTGTGCTCGGCCTGACAGAGAGGAATCTCCAGTCCAGCTTAAGAAGTTCAGATTTAAATACTTTGGCCTGTTTGGTATTGACCAGTGCCACTTCTGTGCATCCAGACTAGGTTTAGAGGCTGGAAAGCTGCTCCACGCAGGAGCAGCATTCCCCAGACCCCCCTGCCCTGGTGCTCTGCCCCACCAGCTCAGCTCTTCAAGAGCTCAGCATCAAAGTACGGCTGAGACACTCCGAGGTGAGCGAGCATTGGAGTAATGCTGCCTCTTAACAGCTCCTGTTTCTATTGTTTGTTGGCTTTCCCCTCTAGGCTGTGGCTTTCAAATGACAGAACCCTTGTCCAGGGAATGCCGCTGGGTGTGCAGCTGGAGCGGGGATGAGCACAGCTGCCCTGGTGAGGACGGCATTGCTGCTCCTTCCAGCCCCTCTCTGCTGCTTCCCCAGCCACTGACGGGACTGAAACACTCGGTGCCTGCAGCAGAGCCCTGTCCCTGGGAGCAGGGGAGCCCTGCTGCAACGGGGCTGCAACGGGGCTGCAACAGGGCTGCACTGGGGCTGCACTGGGGCTGTGCTGGGGCTGCACTGGGGCTGCACTGGGGCTGTGCTGGGGCTGCACTGGGGCTGCACTGGGGCTGCACTGGGGCACCCTGCAGCACCCAGGGGGCTGCTGAAAACTCCATAACAGCAGGGGCAGGGGGAAAGGAGCTGGGGGTGGGGAGGAGGAGAGCTCATCCTCACCAAGAACTG